GCATTCCTGGGCTCTGCTCACATTACCCTGTGTGGCAGGAGGGAGGGAGGGGCCGTGAGAAGGAAAGTAAAGCGGGTGCCTCACTCTGGCCTGACTCCCCTCTGCCAGAAGGGAGGCTGCCACCCTCTCCCGATGGTGTCCTTCCCCAGGGCCCCAGATGTCCCACCCCAACCAGACCCTGGAACTTCTGTCAACTCTGTTCCATGAACAGTCACCAAAATCCATTAATTCAACTAACTTTCCTGAGGGGCCACTGCGTGCCAAGCAGAGTGCTAGGCAACTTTACACGCGTGGAAGATGTGAGTCTAGACTCTGGGTCAGGGGCCTGGGTTCAAATCCCAGTTCTAGTCACTTACTGATGTTTGTGTGACCACAAACTGTTTAATCTTTCCATGCCTCAGTTTCTGCGTCTGTAAAATGGGGATAATAATAGGACCTACACCAGATTTTTGGCGAGAATTAAGTACGTGACAGACAAAGCATTCATAAACACTGGGTATTGTTATCACTCTTCAGAAAAGCCTTGTAAAGTGGGTTATAACCCAATTTTATACGTAAAGAAACTACTGCAGAAAGGATTTAAGCTCCAGTGCAAACACCTGGATAAACTCTGCCGAGAATTCAGGTGTGAAGAGCAGCCCCTCCAGCTCCATGAAGGTACCAAGGAATCGAATCCGGGGGGTTCCTGGGGCAGGGCCACACCCCTCAGCCCCAGGATCACTTCCTTCACTTTGCCGTTTCCCAGAAGCCACTTGTAATCGAAGGAATGAGGGAGCAGAAGACAAGCCCAACCCTGAACACTTTCCTGATTGCAGAAGAGGGTCCGGCGATTTGAGCCATTCCGCACCCTCGGGGGGCCTCCCCTCTCCTGGCTCCCTCCCATCTGACTGAAGAGCCAAAGGAAAAGGCAGGAGCTCCGTTCTCGCGCCCCCCAACAGGCAGCGGCGCCCCACCTGGATGCACAATGCACTGCACAAGTGGGACACGGCGCCCAAGGGTTAGAAAACCCCACGTGACAGTCAGAATTTCAAGGACAGACGCCACCCACCCCACCCACCCCTGGTCCTGCTTGGCTCCAACAAAGCAAAAATTCACTGTGACCCAAGCCCACCATGGCCCTGAGCCTATGACTAAGCACAGCTGAGAGACGGCTGGCTTCGGGCCGTGCCCTGCACCATGACCCTGGGTGAGCCCCTGAGCTACCAAGATGCCACGCCCACAGGCTTCCTGGCCAGGAGGAAAGTCCCACATGCAGAGACACACATCCCCACAGGACGAGGCGAATTCTAAGGATGTGGATGGTGGCGGGGCCTTGCGGTGCTGAGACGCTGCCCCAAGAAAAAAATACCCTGCTCACACACCAGGATGCCAGGAAACAGTGAATCCCTTGATTCCAGGTAAGGTCAGGCAGAATCCCAACGGGGCAGATGACTCAGTCAGGAGGGAGACGGGTCAGGGGATCCCACGGCGACTCGCTGGGCAGTGATGGGGGACAAAAAGGAAAGCAGGCAGGGAAACAGGACACAGATGAAACAGCACAGCTAGAAAGGAGTAAAAGAGGAGGAGAGAAAAGGAGAAAAAGTGGAAAGAGGAGGTTTAAAAAGAGGGCAGAGGAGAACGAAGCAGCAGCACGGTGGGGGAGGACCCCGAGGGTGAGGGCCGGGGCGGGGGGGGGAGACACCCCTGCACGCAGTGCACCACGTGATCAGAGGTCCCTGTGGCCAGATCCCCAGCTTCTCGGTACCTCCCCAAACTAAGCCTCCATCCCAGCTCCCATCTCACCACTGGCCAATGTGAGTTCAGGAAAGGGAGAGAGATGGGCTCAAGACAAGGGGTAGGGTCAAAAATGGGGAGGGAGAGGCCCAGCGCTGGTTGGGGAGGAAGCGGATCCCTGAGAAAGGATGCAGCTTCCCCCAGGGAATCAGGGGAAATCAGGAGTCCCAGGTACAAAGGCTGGGTCAGCCCTGCAGTGAGGGTGCACCCAACCCCCAGGAAAACTCAGCAAATTCCCCTGATGCCAGCCCAGCCACAGAGACAGACGTTCCGGGGGATTCAGCACTGTCGCCACCCCGGGACATCCCTAAGGGGAAGGGTATAAACTGCAGTGGATAACTAAGCCAACCGTCTCTGGGTGCAGCCGGTAAGCACAGCATCTGACTTCACGCTGCCTTTCCAATAACCCCTCTTCAGCCCAAGGGGCCTGTCTTTTTCTCAAGTCAGAGGCCAGAGAAGCCACTGTTTCCACAATCCTCCAACAGTCTACTCTTGTAGAGGGGGCTTCCCACTTGCATGGCGGGAGAGGACCCTCAGGGACCAAAAGGAAAGATGATGAAAAGAAGAAATCTGGTTACACATCTCCTGACTGTGGTTCTAGCCCAGAAAAAAAAAGCTGCTCAGATGTCCTGAGAAGCAGCTGAGTCACAGGGCTCATCAGCATGTGGGAGGTGGGTGGGGGCAGGATGGGCGGCAGGAGAACCAAGCGTCACACGGGAAGTGTGGTTAGAACGAACGAGCCCACCCACACAGAAGCGACAAACCCAAAGATGGCGCAGACACACAAACCTGAGGTCCCGAGCCCGGTCCTCTGACGGTGCATCCTCATCCCGTGGGTGGCACCCCTTGTCCCAGCCGCCACTGGCCCCCAATCCCCTCTCCCTGCTTCTTCAACCTGCCCCCCAGCATCGTCCAAGTCTCCGCTGGCTCCTCCCCTTTTTCCCAGAGAGGCTCCTCAGATGCGATTAACTCTGCCACCACCCCCCCAGCCCCGAAAACCAGGCAGGGAGGGGAGAAAAGGAAGTGCCAGCAACTGATCCATAAGGGGGAGGACACCCTGACGCACATACACATACTGTCTATCACCTCTTCGAAATGTCCTTTCCAACTTGCGTGACAATCCTCGGTTATACAGTTCTAGCCTGTCTTTTAAACTTTAAAATCACTTGTTATCTTAAATTTCATTTTAACCGAGTTCCCCAGTGTAAAAATACTGGGGGAGGGTGACACGGGGTGATGCGCCCCAGGAGTTGCCCCATGCCCATCCCCACGGTATCCTGGGTCCCTCACCTGGACCATGACTCTCGGCCCACCTCCTGGGACAGTGTGCAAAGTGTTCTGGCTGTGTCGGAGCACCGGACAGTACTCGCTCAGGCCAGCCCCTCCACCTTCGCTCTAATTCCGTAATGAGACCACCCAGCAAGGAGCTCCTAGGCCACCACAACACACAGACAAGAAAGAGCACAGACTCTGTGCTCAGCAAGGGACCTCGGTCCACCGCACTCAGCACCCTGTCTTTCCAAAGCACGCCAATCTCCCCAGTGTTTTCCATTTCTAGTGCAAAATTCACGATATAACAAAGCTGGCATTAAAAAAAAAATCACTCTAGGGCTTCCCTGGTGGCGCAGTGGTTGAGAGTCCTCCTGCCGATGCAGGGGACACGGGTTCATGCCCCGGTCCGGGAAGATCCCACATGCCGCAGAGCGGCTGGGCCCGTGAGCCGTGGCCGCTGAGCCTGCGCGTCCGGAGCCTGTGCTCCGCAACGGGAGAGGCCACGGCCTTGAGAGGCCCGCGTACCGCTAAAAAAAAAAAAAAAAAAAAAAAAAAAAAAAATCACTCTAGCCAACTGTTTTCACTTTTGCATGCTTTTTCATGCTTCTGTCCACATAATCAACCTTCTTAAAACTTTAAATTATACCGTAAACATGTTCCATGTTGCTACACAGTCTTTATAATCAGTGTTTTTAATGGTTGCATAACATCACTGGACTGGACTTACTATAATTTACTTAAACCATTTCTCCATGATTAGACAGTTAGATGATATCCAATTTTTCTAATGCTAAAATTCATCTTTTTATACTTTGTTTCTTCTTTTACACACGGATACAGCATAAATTCCAAGTAGTAATAAGACTAGATCATAGGTTATGAACTTTTATAACTTTTTTTTTTTTTCCGGTACGCGGGCCTCTCACTGTTGTGGCCTCTCCCGTTGCGGAGCACAGGCTCCGGACGCGCAGGCTCAGCGGCCATGGCTCACGGGCCCAGCCGCTCCGCGGCATGTGGGATCTTCCCAGACCGGGGCACGAACCCGTGTCCCCTGCATCGGCAGGCGGACTGTCAACCACTGCGCCACCAGGGAAGCCCTGAACTTTTATAACTCTTGAGACTTATTACAAAATTGCTTTCTAAAAGTATTTCACCTGTTTACACTGCAGCCAGCAATATATTGTTACCATTGCTATAATCTTACATACATTGAATGTTCTCATTATTTTAAACTGTGGCTAGTTTAAATATATAATGATGCCCAGTGAGGCAGAACATTTTTTCATGTTTGTTTCCTGCTTCACATTCCTTCCTAGACTTTGTTAAATGCAAATCAAAATTATGTGTGCACACAATTAATTTCTCTCTCTCTCTCTCTCCCTCTCCCTCCCTCCCTCTCTCCCTCTCTCTCTCTCTCTCTCTCACACACACACACACACACACCCAAACAAAACCAAAACATAGTCTCAATAATTCAAATAAGTAAATAATGTACCTTAATGAAAAGTAAAATAGAAAAGCGGCAAGTTTTACACCATCTAGATTTCCTTAGTACATAAGTTGCTAAGTATGTGCTGCAAATGAAAATATGTTAAATATTTAATTGATGGTAAAAGTGAAACTTTCTTTTTTGGCCGTGAGGCTTGCAGGATCTTAGCTCCACCACCAGGGAGGGATCAAACCGGGGCCCCCTGCAGTGGAAGCACAGAGTCCTAACCACTGGACCCCCAGGGAATTCCCAAAAGTGAAACTTTTAGAAAGAAAGGGACTTTGCATGGAGTTACCCATTGATCAGCAGCAGAAAATGGGTTAAATGTCAACTAACCCGAGATTCCTGGCCAACACTTGCCCGCTGACGAGATGAAGCTCATGAGAAAAGAATCAATGGCTGCCCACCATCGAATGCGATGAGGGCACAGGGCAACATCCCCGTCCCAAATATCTCCTCTACTGTCCATTCCAGTGCCTTAGCCTCCATCAGTGGAGGAGATTCAAGCCAAGAATAAAATTCTCCCCTAGGAATTGAGACAACTGACATCTTTATCAGGCTCATTAATATACAAGAGACAACTTGGGACCAAGACCCTGAGAAAATAAAACATGTCCCAATGGGAGACTGAGGCATTAGCGGGGAAGAAAAGTAAGAAGGCTGTCTCCTGAAGTCACTTCTTAGAATTCTTATACACCCGGGACAGTAGTATGAAGCTTTCCGGAAAGCAATTTGGCGGTATGGAACTAGAGAGCTAAAAATGTTCCTATCCTTTGACCCAGAAATTCTACTTCTAGAATTCCATCCAAGTAAATAAACAAAGATGCAAATACAGATTAAAATAAAACGATGGCAACTGCAACAGAATTTATAATGACACAAAGTTGGAAATGCCCTGAATGTCCAAATGATTAGGGAATAATAAATAAATGATAGGACATTCACATAAGGAAATGTTGCACAATCTTTAAATAGCTATGTTTTCAAGTACTTTTAAATGAATTAGGGAAAAACTCCCCCAAAGTTTTTTAAAGATACAATAATATGATTTAGAATATGGTCCCAGTCCTCTAAGTATTATTTTTATATTTCTATATTTGGAAAGAAAAAGACTGACATCCAGGCACTAAAATATTAGCAGTTATTATCTATGGGTCACAGGCGAATTTTATCTACATCTATATTTTTTTCCATATTTTCCAAATTTTCTTCAGGAAATGTATGTTACTTTATTTAGCAGGAGGGAAAGCTATTTAACTCCACACACCCCCATCCCCAGCGTACAAGTTTTGAAGCTGAGAATAAATTTCTCAATTCTCCAGAGTCCATAAACAAGCAAAACCTTGCCTAAATTATAGCGCTCTTGGGACTTCTTAGTGTTTCAAAGTCTTAAATCTAATAAAGCCATGTTCCACCCATCACAATTGCCCAAAAGCTAGGTACCTACCCAGGGGGCTTTGGCAGCCTCCAATCTAGTTGGGTTTCTTACTTCCTACTGCAGCCTCCCCTAAGAGAGGCTCTTTCTTTCCTCTGTGGGTTTGGTTGCTTGCTCTCTGGTCTTCATAAGAGGAGCCCCTGTCCTGGGGGTCAACTGAAGATTCACACGCAAGTCAGTGCCTCTTTCC